CCTCTCTCTCTCTTTGTCCCTTTGTCCCCTCCACTCATTTTCCCGTCTTTTCCACGCGTTCGAGAAAAGTTCGTCCTGCATGTACTGTAGGACGTGTTCTGGACCCAGAGGATAGAAACTTTTTCCATGCTGTAACTCGGACTCGAGAGTTTTTCCAGTGGATGATCGTTTCTAGCGGCGAGTGAAACGTTGTTGTAACTGGTGCTCCGGTTCGAACGGGTCCGACCGGGCCCGCCGGGAATAGTAATCGCGCGATTTCCATTTTTCATTGGCCCCGGTGCGCGCGTGTTATAAAAGTTTCCAAACGGTACGCGGGCACCGCGCCGCGGAATACTAATCACCGTTTCTTATCATTGACACGATTATGCGCGCGATCCTCTCTGCGGGACTCTTCGCGCACCTGTCGCCCGGCCACTGACAGCCTTTTTCCCCCTTCTTTCTTCTTTTCTTTTTCCACCTTTTTGACTATACCGATCTTATCCGCGTTGTCGAGCAAAGTCTGTCAAGCTTTTCTCGAGGAAACGATCGGCACGTACGTCCTCCTCGTGATCGATGATCGGTGGCAAATAAAATCGGAGCCAGTCCGATTAACCATTCCGCCTCGGTTTCGCCGCGGCACTGTACATTTTAAATGTCGCGCGTCGACCTGCTCGCCCGGCCCGTTCCAGCCTCGACGAGACCGCGTTCGTTTCGATCGTGAAGCGAAACCTTATGAGCTCTCATCGTTGTTGCGAGCGTTAAACCGGTCGCAATGTGACGTTCTCCTTGCCGAGAGAGCTTTCGTCCGGTTGAAATGTTAAAGTGTGTCGATTGTTGAGTTTGCAATTGTCTCTAAACTCTTCGTCATATTAATCACGTAAGAACGACGAAACTTCTTACGTTCCAGCTGCAAATTTCTATTTCTCCGACTATCAGAATTCTGATCTTAGTCGTTTAGCAAACTTATTTCAATCGAGTTCGTCAATCCAGTTTTTATCTCATCTCTCGTAACAATTTCACGACCAACGAAGCAACTATTCTTCTTTTCTCTCCTACTTTGTACTCGTCTTAATATATAGAGTCAGTTTCCTGTTGCATCGATGAGGCGATCAACACTTGAAATTACTGTTTGAACGTATGATAGATACT